GTGGGACACTGTTTGGATCACCCTGCCAAGTCCCCACCCCACTGGCTCAGTTCAGCAGGGAGAAGGGAGAACAGCTTAGAGCTGGGACATTCAGAGTGTGAGTCCCTTCGAGGTTATTGTCTGGGACCAGGATGAAGTGTTTAGCCTCCTCCTGTGGACTGGGTCAGCATTATCTCCAATGGGAGACTCTTTTGATCTGTCGCCCTGAGCCTGTTGGCTCCGCCTGGCTGAGCTTGCTCCTTCATAGGGTTCAGCTGGCTGTACCCAAGCTAAATCTGTGGTGCTCTCCTTGTGGGGGAACTATAGTTAGAGACTCTGGCAGAGACTGAGTGGTTAGGCTCTTGTAGTAGAGGCCACTTTCCCTCATTGAGTGCCTGACTATATAACCCTCAAGTAGGAGCCCCACTAGCTCTCTTCTCCCGACCCTGGTTGCGTGGTTGCTCTCCCCTACCAGACTCACAACCTATAAAAGGGGATGTGGCTTGTGGCCAGCCTTAACACACTCTACAGTGTTTCTTTGGAAGGCTCTGGAGGAAGACTAGGCATTCTCATGGAGAGGTGGAGTAGCTGACAGGTGGAGGCAGAATTCAGGGATCCTTGGTCCTTTTACAGAACTACCCAAGCTCTAAGCACTCCTGCTTAGAGGAGGACACATATTGACCCCTCACACACACACCCAGCCCCAGTAGACACAACCACAGAATGAATAGCATGATAGCTACAGACAGATAGCCCAAGGCCAGTTACACACAATGTGTGACATTGACCTGTACCTGAACCCTGCCCAAGGGAACCCACACCAAAATAACCAGTGGTAGGCTTCAGACCACACAAGAACTCGATCCAACTAGCTACACAAGCATCACAGCCAAAGGGAGATTCCAGTAGGCACCAGACCCTGCTGGTTGCGAGGGGAGGACAGGCACTGAACAGTGTCTTATACACGGTAATCAAGAATTACCCTATAGTCAGCCAGCCTGAAGTGTTAACTCCACCCACAAAGGGGCGAACACCATTTGAGACTCAGATACAACACAGGGGTGCACATAACCCGCAAGAAACATCCCTGGAACACGGAGCTCAGGTGATCTGGAAGATTGTGCCACTGAGCCCAACAAGACGCCTTCATAAAGCCATCATAACAAGTATGGGAGTCATAGCAGATCTACCTAATACACTGAGACAAAATGAGGAGATAAAGTAATATGCCCCAAGTGAAAGAACAAGAGAAATCCCCAGAAAATGACTTAAATGTATTGGAAGCAACCAAAATGCCAGATGCAGAGTTTAAAATGGTGGTTATAAGGATGCTCAAGGACCTAAGGGAAGAATGGATGAGCTCAAGGAGAATTTAGGCAAAGAGACAGTAAGCATTAAAAAGGACATAAAAGCCGTAAAAAAGAACCAGTCAGAAAAGGAGAATACAGTATCTAAAATGAAAGGATCAATAGCAGGTTAGATGAAGCAGAGATGATCAAATCAGTGATTTGGAGGACACAATAACGGTAAGCACCCAAACAGAACATCAAAGAGAAAAGAGAATTTTAAAAAATGAGGAAAGTCTAAGGGACCTCTGGGACAATCAATATTAAGCATAACATCTGCATCATGGGGGTAACAGAAGGAGAAGAGAGTGAGTAAGGGATAGAGAACCTGTTTGAAGAAATAATGGCTGAAAACTTTTCTAACCTGATGAAGGAAAAATTCACAAGTTCAGGAAGAACAGAGAGTCCTTGTCAAGGTGAAACCAGAGAGCCCAGCTGGCATGGCTCAGCTGTTGAGCATCGACCTGTGATCCAGCAGGTGGATGTTTGATTTGTGGTCAGGGCACATGCCTGGGTTACAGGCTCAATCCCCAGTGGGGGTCATGCAGGAGGCAGCCAGTCAATGGTGCATCTTTATTGTTTCTGTCTCTCCCTCTCCCTCCCTCTCTCTGAAATCAATAAAGTTAAAAATTAAAAAAAAAAAAAAAGAAACCAAAGAGACCCACACCAAGACACATCATAATTAAAATGGTGAAAGTTAAAGATAGTGAGAGAATCTTGAAGGCAGTAATAGAGAGACACTTAGTTACCTATAAGGGAGTTCCCAGAAAGCTGTGAGTTGATTTTGCAACAGAAACACTTCAGACCAGAAAGGATTGGTATGAAATATTCAAAGTAGTGAAAAGTAAGGAACTGCAAACAAGACTACTCTATCCAGCAAGGCTATCACTTAAAATTGAAGGCAAAGCCTAGTCAGTGTGGGTCAGTTTGCTGAGCTTCGTCCCATGCACCGAGATGTTGCCAGTTCAATTCCCTGGCAGGGCACTTGCCCAGGTTGCAGGCTCAATCCCAAGTTAGGGGCATGCAGGAAGCAGTTTATCAATGTTTATCTCATCATTGTATCTCTCTCCCTCCCCCTTCCTTTGTCTCTAAAATAAATAAAAATGTATTTCATAAATAAATAAAATCAAGGTCATAATAAACAGCTTCCCTGACCTAAAAAATAAAAATAAAAAAGCTAAAGGAGTTCATTACCACCAAATCAGCATTGCAGGACATGTTAAAGGGCTTGCTTTAAGAAGAAGAAGAAATAGAGATGGGAACACAAGTACAAAGAATGAAATGGCAGTAAATACATGCCTATCAATTATACCCTTAAATGTAAATAGATTAAATGCTCCAATCATAAGACATAGGGTACCTGAATGGATATGAAAACATGACCCATATATAAGATGTCTATAAGAGACCCACCTAAGGCAAAAGACACACAGACTAAAAGTGAAGGGATAAAAAAAAAATACTGTATACAAATATAAACAACAACAAATAAAGCTGGGGTAGCAATACTTATAGCTGACAAAATAGACCACAAAACAAAGGCCATAAAAGTGACAAAGAACGTCTCTGTATAGTACAAAAAGGATCAATCCAACAAGGGGATATGCCCCTTATAATTATGTATGCACCCCACATAGAAGCACCTAAATTTATAAAGAAAATCTTGATGGGCATTAAGGGAGAGTTTGACAGCAGTACAATCGACAGCAATTGTAAGGGATTTTAATACTCCACTGTCATCAATGGATAGATAATCTAGACCAAAAATCAACAAAGCAACAGCGACCTTAAACGACATACTAGATTGGGATGATTTAATTGATATTTATAGAACATTTCTTCTCAAAGCAGCAGAATATACATTCTTGTCAAGTGCATGTGGAACATTCTCAAGGATAGACCACATGTTAGGACACAAAATAAATCTTAACAAATTAAAGAAGATTGAATACAAAAGATAAGTGAAACCAAGAGCTAGTTCTTTGGTTTCAAAAATAAATAAAATCGATGAACCTTGAACCAGACTCCTCAAGAAAAAAGGACCCAAATAATTGAAATCAGAAATGAAAGAAGTAACAACTGACATCACAGAAATACAGAGGATTCTAAATTAAATATATTATGAACAACCATATGCCAATAAATTAGACAACCAAGGAGAAATGGATAAATTCCTAGAAACATACAATCTTTCAAAACTGAATCAGGAAGAATCAGAGAACCTGGACAGACAGATAACAGCTACTGAAATTGAAGCAGTAATTAAAAAAACCCAGCAAATCAAAGTCCTGGACCAGATGGCTTCATAGGCTAATTTCACCAAACATTCAAAGAAGAGCTAAAAACTATCTTTTCAAACTATTCCAAAAAATTCAAGAGGAGGGAAAACTTCCAAGCGCTTTTTACGAGGCCAGCATTACCCTAATTTCAAAACCAGATAAAGACACTATAAAGAAAGAAAATTATAGGCCGCTATGTTCATAGCAGCATTATGTACAGTAGCAAAGATCTGGAAACAGCCCAAATGCCCATCAGTGGATGAGTGGATAAACAAGCTATGGTACATTTACACAATGGAATATTATGCAGCTGTAAAAAATGAAGGTAATCTTTTGGTTTGGAACAGGATGCATGGACCTGGAGATTATTATGCGAAGTGAAATTTACCAGTCAGAGAAGGACAAGTACATATGATTTTACTTTTATATGGAATCTAGTGAACAATATAAACTGATGAACAAAATAGAAAGAGGCCTGGATACAAGGAACAGACCAACAGCTGTCAGAGTGGAGGGGCTTGGCAGGACTGGATGAAAGAGACTGAATGGATAAGCAAAAAATCATACATACATGACACACAGACACAGACAACAGTGTGGTGATTGCCAGAGGAAAAAGGGATGGTAGCTAGATGGAGGTGGGCAAAGTGGGGAGAAATGGGTATGAAAAGAGACTTTTCTTGGGGCCATGGACAAACAGTGCAATGTGCAGGTTACACTTTCTTGAGTTGCATACTTGAAACCTCTGTGTTTTTGCAAATCAATGTCACCTTAATAAATTTAGTTTAAAAAAAGTAAAATCTGAGTTGCTATTGGAATAAAAAGTTGTTTCATTTTATTTTTGAATATTTGATGAAAGAGCAGTATGTTTGCACTGAGAATCTCTTTTTAGGGATGTAACAGTTTTTTTTGAAATTTAATGATGAATTAAGTTCCATTATATACTGGTGGAAAACCTCAAAATGATCTCATTATTGTATTGATTATTTCTGGTAGCAACTGCTTTGAGCCAAGTTCTGTAGGTGATCAGTTAATTTTTGTAGGGTATATCTGTTAAAATGTTTTTGTTATTTCACCATTCCCCATGATTTAATATCCAGAAATCCTTTATTTAGAAGGAATTTTGTAGTTTCTGCCACAATAAAATACTATTTTTAATGCTTTTTTAACACACTAAATTAGTGATGAAAAGTTATACTTTTAAGAAATGTTTAATATTTTTCTCTCATGTTTTACTAGGTTCGAATTGAACAAGTAATAGTAGCTGAACCTGGGGCAGTTTTATTATATAAAATTTCTAACCTTCTTAAATTTTATCATCATACAATCAGGTAAGTGGAATGGTGAAATGTGCTTGTTAAATCCTGTGATACCTCATTTCAGTTAGAACAGTGTAAGATTTTTATTTTTTATTTTCACTATTTGCATGACTGAGTATAACTGATAGAACCTCCACATGAATGAATAAACCATATGAATTATTATATGCATATTATATGTCCTATTCTTTCAGGTTCATTGTTTTCTTTTGCCACTCTTCTTGAAACACAGTTATACACATACATGTGCACATATACAACTTATTTAACAGTGTAAATGCATTAGTAAAGTAGATTTATGACACCTAAATTACTGTATATTATACTCAGAATAGGATATAAGTGAAATATCCTATTATGGATATAAATAAATTCTTTTTTACCATTTAGTTTTCTGTTAGCTACAGAACAGAACCATAGCTTTATCTTCTCTAAATAAAACTACTTTAGCATTTCTAAATAAAAGCTCTTTTGGTGTCTCTAAATAAAACCTTTATCTGATTAGGAACCATTTGTCATTTAAAATACAAACTTTGACGCTAGAAGTTGCATTCAGTTTTGCTTTGCATATATCTGTTGATAAATGTCACTGTACGACTATGTTATATATATGTTGTTGTGTTAAAACAATGTCATTTCAAGCTTTATTTTTGATAGTTTCCATGTTAGTCCATTAAAAATGATTTAAAAATTACTTTTTATCCAATATGACAGTGACAGGATCAGAATGCCCATTGTTAAAATCCAAGACAATTATTATAACAGATCCTGGAGAGGTTCAAGGCACTAGTTTGCAGAGCACCAAAAGAATATGGCAATGATGTTATCTGCATTCTAGTGACTGAGATTAACCACCCAGAGCTTCACAGCCAGGAGATGGATTTTCTATCCTATCGGTAGATTTTCAAACAAAACCGACATACCACAAAACTGATCAGAAATAGGATTTGGGTTAGTTCTCTAAAATTTTAGATACAAGTTTATTATCACTTGCCATGACTCAAAAGCAATAAATTAGTTTCAATTGTAAGATATAGGCTTCCTAAAATAAGAAAATGATACTTAAGAGCTGAAAGGAGCCAACACATAGCTTATGCTGTATTATGCAACGATAGTGGTAAAATAATTTTAAAGTTATCTATGTAGTAATGCCCATATGGTATTGCATGAAATTTATTATTCGAAGGTAATGAGAACTCAATTTCTAATGTAGAGAATGTTAAGAATAAAATCATTTGGATTCTGAGCACAATGATAGGTTTTTTAGGCTCTGATACAATTTTTTTGTCTTTGAAGATGATAATTTTGAGGATGACAGTTAAGATCTTTTGATACATTACATGTACTTTTCTACTTGTTCACACATTTTCTCATTTAGTCAATTAAAAAGTTGACTATAAATGTCATTCTTCTAGGTTTTAAGGAAATGACAGTGAACAAAACACAGTTTAAACTTACATTCCAGTGGCAGAAACAAACAAGTATAAAATAATTTTAGATAGTGTGATTAAGGACACTGAGGAGAAGTAAAGTGGGACAAAGGAAGTAGAAATGATAAGGAATGGCCACGAATGAGTAGGTGTATTTGTGCGTGACTGTTTTGGAAAGTCTTTTGGTTGAGGTGATATATAGAGACCTGAATAATGGGAAGGAGTTGGGATTGAAAAGATCTTGGAGTTGGGATTGAAAAGTGCTTTATGCTAGGGCATGCTCTGGCTCTGAGGCCAAGAAATATTTGCATTACAGAGGACCAGAAGGAAGGCCAGTGTTTGGAGTGGAATGAATTGGAAGAAGTACATAAGGGGTGATGAAATCACAGAGGTAGGCAGAGGCCAGATGATATAGGACTTTGTAGGCCATGGTGAGGTTTTAGATTTCTATACTGAGTGAGTTGGGTAGTTGTGGGAGGGTTTTGAAGGACTTGAACTGATTTATGTTTAAGGTGACTGTGGGTACACTGGATAATGTAATGTTGTGGGGCAAAAGGGAAGCAGTTTGTGATAGTCTTGGAGGTGGTGAAAAGTAGTTGGTTCTGGAGATGTTTTATGTTACAGCCTATAGGACATATCTGTGGACTAGATGAGGTCAGATGTGAGGAATAATTGGCTTATGATTTAAGCAAGTAGATGAATGATATTGCCATTTGCTGAGATGGGGAATGCTGGAGAGGAACAAGTTAATGAGATTGGGTGGATAATGAAGAATTCAGTTCAGTTTTGGCCCTGTTAGGTTTGATGTACTTGTGAACATGCAGTAGGAGATGTTGGATGAGCAGATAATACAGAGAAATCAGGCTGAAACTATAAATTTGGTAGTTTGCAGATACAGTTGATATTTGAAGCCATTAGGAACTATGTAAGGTCATTTAGAAGGTGAATGTAGATCCAGAATAAGGTCTAGGACTGAATCTTGGGAAACTCCAATATTTAGTGGTTGAGAAGAGGAGAAACCCCCAAAGAAAACTGGGAAGGAATAGTCACTGAAGTTGGGAAAAAATAGGAGATATGCAAAATCTCAAAAATGTTTTTTCTCCTATACATTCAAACTGCTGGAGGATAGATTCCATCAAAATGCAGTAGTAACCAAAAAAGGGAAGATTTGGAATCCAGGAAACAGGGAATCCAGTATACCTTGATTGCATTTTCTTTCCTGTAAAACTTTATTTTCCTGTAGTTAATAACTGCTTGGTTTTGTACTTGCTTACTTTTCTATGTCCTTATCACTATTTTAGACCCAAACTATTAAGTGGACTGTGCATTTTCTACCATATAGTCAAGAACATCAAGTAATCCCTCGCAGCTTAGGTCCTCTCTTCCCACACCTCTCTCTGAGCCCTCATCCTCCTTTCCCAGTCTAGACTAGTTGCTCTCCAGGCCTCCTCCGTGGATGTCTTCTCACAAGCCTGCTCTTCCCTTGTGCTAGATTCCCTGATCCCTTGGTCAGCTCTGGATAGTATTTACATGTTTGTAGTAATGAAACATTGAATATTTATTTACTAGAATGCTGTGATATAACTATTAGGAAGCCTGGTAGAGATGAAATTTGATATATTGAGGTGGGGGAGAAGCATTGTGTATGTGAATTTGGCTCTCATCTTCTATATCAGGGAATTTGTATATAATACCTAAAATTGAAAAATTATTAGGAGTATAAGCAAATTGGGTAGGATTATGAAGTGAAATACCAAAAGGTAAGGTATATAAATGTCAAATCCCTATATTGTATGCCTGAAACTAATACAATATTATAGGTCAACTGTACTTTTAAAATAATAAAATAGGAAGAAAGAAAGGTTAGAAACTATGAATTGGTCTTCAGAATATGACAAGTTAGATAATGATTGAGAGATCATGATAATAAGGATTAGCCTTTGTATTCATGGCTTTAAAGAAACCAGAGTACCTCAATTGGAATTGGTCTCTGAATCCAAATAAAATTAGGCAGGGAGCCTAAAGGAAAAACAAAAACAAAAAAAATCTACAAGTATCTGGTCCAGTTACTGGTGCCTAGTGACTACTTAGTAAATGTTAGTAAATTCTAAATCTGAGTAACTGTAAAATATGGCTGAAAACTCAAGTTTTTAAAAATAAATAATGTAAATTTGTCTTGTTCTTGCTCCAAATTTTTCATTAAAATATCAGTTTCTTTTTGTATTCATTTAGTTTTCTTTCCTTTTTGCTTGATGTATTATAGTTTTATTCAGAGGCATACTTATTTTTATTATATGGATAGTCATATGTGGGAATTCCAGTTTATTTTGGTGTTTAGCTTATAGTATATTTAACTGAGATACTTTGATTTTCAAAAAATACAGCTATTATGGGTCCCTGTTTAGGAATTTGCTTTTACTTTACTGTTTACTTTATATATTTTTTAAATTGATAATTTGTTTTTTTCCATTAATTGTAGAGGAATTTATCCCAATATATTTTCATTTCAGAATATATTAAACGATATAGTATTAGTGTTTACTCTTATAACATATGTAGTATATCAATTCTCAATAATTTTGCTGTATTTTTTGCTACTATCTACTGTTATTTATTAATGCCATTATATTTATCTTTAGTAATCTAAAATTTTTTTTAGTATGGTAAGTAATATGTTACTGTGCCTGTAGAAATTATTTCCTTCTGGATTACAGTATATTTTTGCATCAACCAAAACCTTTCCCCTAAAAACCCATTTTAAAATCACTTTCAGTACAGATTTAGGAAAATAAAATTGGGAAATGTTTTATATACATGCTTGTCTTACATCCTGGGAAAAATGGGAAGCCTCATTGGATGGGTCTAAGAAATATCCTTGTAAATTGACAATTACAGAATGTGCTGATTATTATTTTCAAATATCATCAAGTTTTTCATAATTAGTCTAAATATGCAGCTGCTATTTAGGTAACTTTATAAATATTGAGAAACTGTGTAATTTATAGGTACAATACTGATATAGCATAGTAGTTTTAATTCAAAGAATAACTCAGTATTATTAAAATTAAAATGTTTTATCAGTAGAGCTATTGATGGAATGGCTTCTCTGAAATTAAAATTATTCTTGGATAAACAAGACATGCATTTATTTTAATAGAGGAAAAATAGAAATACGGGCTTGCATATTATGAGTGTCTGTTCTAACCCACTGCTTTTCTAAAAGAGATTGTGAAGTATTGAAAAAATAATACTTCGTTTTCATTTGTTCATTACCTAACTCAGAAGGAACAAAAACAAAACCTGTCATTTTTATATGAAACTAGAGTAATTGTTTTTAATTCACAGGTAAGATTCTGTATAAAGCATTTTATTTTATTTTATTTTATTATTTTATTGTATTATTTTATTTTATTCTTATTTTATTTTTTAATTTGACTTTGGGTGGTGCCACACAGTGCATTATACAAATCATGTATCATAGAAATGTATACTTGCAACCTGTATGATCCTGTTAACCAGTGTCACCCCAATAAATTCAATAAAAGAAACTTTTACTTAAATCTAGATCTTTCTAAAGAATTCTTTTCAGTTAAAGAACTGAATTGTTTTAGCCTGTTTTGCAACCTGAAGTATTCTTTGCTTTTAGTGGCATTGTTGGAAATAGTGCAACCACACTGTTGACTACCATTGAAGAAATGCATTTGCTAAGCAAAAAAATATTCTTCAATAGCTTGAGTCTTCATGCAAGTAAATTAATGGACAAGGTATGTTTGAAAAATGCAATTCTTAAACTATTTGAATGTGTATCTCTCACATTTAATGTTTTGCTGTTTTTATACTGATGACTATTGTTTTTTCATTCCATACAATGTTCTTTTGTGTTCTTCCTATGAATAAGAAAATTCATTTTGAGATGGCTTACTGGATCTAGGTTTATAGTCTGTGTTCCTGGAACAGTATAACATTGAGTCATAATTGGAGATAGAATCTCAAGCCCTACTTTCACTACAATTTTTCTGTAACCAAAAATTTGTGACTAAATCAAATTTACTGTATTTAGGTCAGGGCTAAGATGACATACAGATTAGAAAGCTGGAACTCTTACTGATTTTCTAAACAGCTTATTTGTATTTGTACTCTTTGATGGTCCAGCTTTGCCCTTATGAAATTTATGCTCCTTTGAGTTTAATATTATAATTAATTATGGAAACAAATAGGATAATAACCCCTTCCCCAAGAAATAAAACCAAATAAAGGGCAACAACAGAAACCTGAAAGAATCCTAAAGAGCTAATATTTTTAATTGAGCAGCGTGTTGTGGTAGGACCAAAAGGAATGGGTTAATAATGATCAAATCTATCTTTTGCTTAATTATTAAGGACTAAAGTTTTAAAGGATGCATCACAGTCACTATGCTGGCTTTTCCTTTTAACTATACTGCTGTACCTAGTAGCCTGGTTACATTAGGCACAGGTTTTGTAATATAGTATAGAACAGTCAGTAGCAATCCAATCCAGACTACCTGGTCAATTTTTACATTCCTAAACTCAGAGAAGCCTTACTAGGAGTTTTCTTTTTGACCCTCATGCATGACTAAAATTCTTTTGGAAAAACAGCATGAATTTGTAGAGCTAGAGTATTTATCTTATATTTTTCCTGTTTTATGTATTTCTATTTGCACAAGAAGTTTACTAGCAATTCTGGTATGTATACGATTAAAAAATATATTTATATGATAAAGACTTTGATCATGAACAAATGTGCTATGATGAGAGTATAAAAGCAAACAATCAAGGTCTGTTGACCTCAAGTTGCTTCTCCTTTTGCAGAAAATAGTCAATAAATCAGTGATTACTACAGAATCACATGTTTTATCAAAGGCATGTGTTCAAGGTGTTGTCCTAGCACATTATATGTAGTAACCTTCATTTACTCCTTTGCAGAGAGGGAGCTTTTCAGAGAGGAAGATACAAGAATTTAACTTCGAAGGACATAGGGGATTTTAAGTAGGTGAAATAGGGGGTGGGTAGAGGTCATCCTGAGTAGAGGAAACAAATAGAATATGCAAGAACACAAGCTGTGAGTTGCCAATAAACAGATTTTTCATTTATTAAAAAAATAACTTGGAAAGTAGTATGGCATATAGATAGGAGAGAGGTCAGGTTCCAACTAGGAGAATTAGGGGAGTTATGAAGTAATTTTTATGAAAATATGTGCTCTAAGGCTGATATTCTGGGAAGAGCCATGAAGGGATAGATTCTTTTTTTTTTTTAATATATCTTTATTGATTTCAGAGAGAGGAAGGGAGAGGGAGAGAGAGATAGAAACATCAATGATGAGAGAGTTGCCATTGATCAGCTGCCTCCTGCACGCCCCAATCAGGGATGGAGCCTGCATCCCAGGCATGTGCCCTGACAGGGAATCAAATCGCGATCTCCTGGATCCTAGGTCAGTACTCAACCGCTGAGCCATGCCCAGCCAGGCAGGGATAGATTCTTGAAGGGTAAAGATAAATCTTCCAAACTTGGTGACTGATTGAGTGTGAGTAAATGACAGGGAAGGGTCTAAAGTAATTCCTTGGTTAGCAACCTGGGAATATTGATACTAATCACGAGTATCTAGAGTACAGACAGTAAAATTTTGGTATAAAGATGCTGATATTGGTATTGTTTAAGTTAGACAAGATACCTGTGGAATATTTTTCTTGAATCAATCTAATCTAGTAAGGAGCTGTACATTTGGATTTAGAGAGTGTTGCATATAAAATACAGTTGAATCCATGGTTTTGGATGAATTCACTAGGAATCATGTTTAATAAGATTAGAGCTCCCTGGACACAGAGTTTTGAGAAACACTGACATTTAAAAGAAGAAAAGGAGCATACCCATGGTATTCTGAAGGAGGATAACTGGAGATGCAGGGGAAAAAAAGGGGAGGGTTTTATCAGAAAAGCCAAAAGAATAAAGTTTCAAGAACGAAGATGTTGTTAATGACAGATACTATATGAAGAGTTGGAGTAAAACAAGGACAGCAGATATGCTGTCTTTGTCAGTATGTAGATGATCTATGACTTATTGAGAATAATTTTAGTCATGTGGTAGCTACAAGAGCCGGATTGCTGTGTATGGAAAAAGCACATTGATGAGCATACTACCTAAAACTTTACCAATTGGAAAACATATAGGCTAAAGACTGAAAATAAAATATAGTGGGCATTCTTATTTTGAAATTTGAAAGAAAATAATAAAACAAAATGGCTAAAGGTAGAATTGCGGTAAATTAAAATACAAAAAAATCATGTGTTGAAATGATCAACTAAATTGATAACCTCCTAATAATTCTTTCACCAAGGGGAAAAAATTAAAATTATGATATCAGAAATCAGAGATAATAACTAGAGATGAGGGTTAAAACCTAGAACACCATATTAAAATGTATTAATTTTATGCTAAAATCTGAAAATCTGATTAAAAAGAATGATATTAAGAACTATAAATTACAAATGATTTAAAAAGTGGAAAACTTGAATATACTTAGAGTGGGAAGAAAATTTATTAAAGAATATGCTGCTAGGCCTACTTTAGGTTATGTAGATAGCTTCATTTGTACCTACAAAGAACAGATAATTCTCTAAAACAGAAAAATATGGAAAACTTTCCAGTTCTTTTTGGTTGGTGTACCACTGATATAAAAGCCTTTCTCAGGACAGTCCAAAAATGAAATCCTCCAACCAGTCATTTTTTAAGTTTAAAAAACAATAAACATAGTTAAACACCTTGCTGACCAGTCACAAGTATACACGTGTTTCTGTGTCTGAACGTTGCTGACCGGTCACGAGATAACTCACGTCTGCACTTAAACATTAATTTAAGTAATTTTAAACACCTTGCTGACCAGTCATGACTAAAAAGTAGCTGGCCACACAGATGAGTTCTGGTTGGAAATAGTCAGCAGAACCGTTCAGTCAAATCCAGCATTATAATGAAAACAAATATAGGTTATTTTCAGGAATATAAGACCGTTTCACTGTTAGGAAATAAATTAAGTGTTTCATTGTTAATTAAGAACATTTTACATTCTTATATCTGAATTGTTGGGGGGAAATCTTAATAAATAAGAAATTAAACATACTTCCGTAACCATATAAAAATAAATAAAACTAACAGCCAACATTGTTAACATAGGATTTTAAGAGGGTATTATTGAACAACTATATGTCAACAAATTGAGTAATCTAGATAAAATTGACAAATTCCAAGAAGTACGAAAGCTACCAAGAACAAATCATGAAAATTTAGAAGAATTGAATACTTGTAACTAGCAGAGAGATTATATCAGTTAATCAAAAATCTCTTTAAACTGAAAGTTCTAGACCTTGTGGCTTCACTGGTGAATTCTATCAAACATTTGAAGAAAAACATATTAATTCTCAAACCTTTTCAAAAAATTGAATAGGAGGCAATACTTCCTAACTTGTTTGATGAGGCCAGCATTTCCAATACCAAAGCCAGAAAAAGATACTGTAAGAAAGGAAAGTACAGATCAGTATTCTTTATGAATACTGATGCAAAATATCTTCAACAAAATACTAGCAAATCAAATTAAGAAGCATATTAAATGATTATATACCCTGCCCTAGTGGGATTTATTCCTGGAATGCATATGAAAGTAAATGTAATTACCACATTAACAGAGAAAAAAAAAAAACCACATGATCATCTCAGTTGATACAGAAAAAGCATTTGACTTAATTCAACACCCTTTCATAATAAAAACTCAATAAACTAGGAATAGAAGAAAACTACCTCTGCATACCATGTATGAAAAGCTAAGGAGATAAAAGACTTGTACGATGAAATATGAAAAACATTGCTGAAAAAATTTAAACATGACATAAATAAATAGAAAGATCCCATATTTATGGATTGGAAGAATTAATATTGTTAATTTTTCATACTACCCTAACAATCCATAGATTCAGTGCACTCACTATCAAAATTTCACTGACAAATGTGACCTCATGAAAATGAAAAGGCTTTGTGCATTAATGATACTATCAACAGAGTAAAAAGGCAACTCACAGAATGGGAGAACATATTTGCAAATCATATATTTGATAAGGAATTAATATCCATAATATGTAGAGAACTCCTAAAACTCAACAACAAAAAATACAACCTGATTTAAAAATGCGCAAAGGACTTGAATAGACATTTCTTTAAAAAGATACATAAATGGCTGGTAAGCACATGAGAAGATACTTAATATCACTAGTCTTCAGGAGATCAAAACTATAAGGTACCCATTAGGCTGGCTACTAGCAAAACCCCCCAGAAAACAGCAAATGTAGGCAAGGATGAAGAGAAATTGCAACCCTTGTGCATTGGTGGGAATGTAAAAGATAGTATGGTTGCTGTAGAAAACTCTATGTTCGTTGCTCAAAATATTAAAAGTTGAGTTATATGATCCAACAATTTCACTTCTGGGTGTATATTCAAAAGAATTGAAAGTTGGGTCTCAAAGAGACACTTGCATAGTTATGGTCATAGCACTATTACAAGAACTAGATTGGAAGCAGCCCAAGTGTCTATCAGTGGATGGATGGATAAGCAAAATATGGTACAAACATACAATGGAATATTATTCAGCCTTAAAAAGGAAAGAAATTCTGATGTGTGCTATAACATGAATGAACTTTGAGGAGATTATACGAAGTGAAATAAGCCAATCACAAAAAGACAACTACTGTGTGAGTCCACCTATA